TAATCGCACTTTATAAGAACGATGTTTTAAGTCTCGTACTGCCCTTGAAACTACGTCCTCTATTGTTAATCGTGCTCAATCTGATGGCTATGATTACACACTAAAGCCGACACCGCAATCTTCATTGTAACAAGCTTCTGCGAGGGACTTCGAGATCAATCTTAGACCACACATCTTGTCAGACTTTCTACAGACACTCCAGTGTAGGTGGACGCCTGCTTCCAAGACAACAGGATAAAGGACAGTTATCCTTTGGAACTGTAACAAGGAACCTTAATAATATTCTTTCGAAATAGACTATTGTGATTCCTGTTTCTACAGCCATCTTTCTCATGAAAAGTCTGTTGTTTTCGAGTTGTTGCTGAAGATTTTTTTCATCTTCAAATCCTAATTTTCATCATGTTAATAGTACTAGGAGATACGATAGGTGCTATAATAATGGTATTTTGGGTTATATTTATTAATCATAGCTTTATTGTTAAACCCATTTCTATGCGAGTTTTTGTACTTCCACGCAAAAAATTGAAGCTCCAGATTTTGAAATTTTGCCTTATGCATCTCTTTATACGAATATCTTTCCTCGAAAAGGGTGATAATATATTCACCAACTATGAGTTACTCGTGGTTGAATGGTTGGGGAATTGCCGTGAACCAAATATATCGACGCCCGTAGTGATTCCTCCCGAATTAGCGCATACTAATCGTTCTTTTAAAGTATGATTAACCATCTGTATCTTGATCTAGTAGCTCTATTAAATTTGCATATAAAAATCTTTCGACATTGAATTTTATAACTCAAATGCGAAATAGACTATCGGTGAATTCCAAGCTCTCTTGTTCGGCTAACAGTAAATTAACAATCACCGCAATTCCTGACAACTTATCTGAAAATATAAGCTATGAAAATATTTCCTGAGTTGTTTTTCGTAATAAACTGTGTTTCCAGAACCGTTGCTAACAAGTCACTTACTTAAAAAAAAAAAAAAAAAGATTAAAGATCAAACGTCCGAGTATCAGCAATTCCGTTCTTAAGTAAAACAATCTAGACAATACCTGGAGATTTTCAAAAAGCTGGATAATCTCTTTGAAGTAGAAGCAAAATATTTCCAACAGAAGTAAAATAATATATTAGAGCCTAAGAAAATCTTGAAATAAAGTTCGGTCGAAAGCACGCCGGTGTATACACAGTACGGTTCATCTTTCACGAAATCCGATATGATTGATTTTGCTT